CATCAGAAGCAAGCAGGTGTTCTTCAAACTGCAAACGTGAATTGTCTATGCCATGCTACAATGTCAGATTCAAGAAAAGATGTTGAAATGTCTGAAAGGTCGAACACAGGCGAAAACGTATCGGGAGACGGAGACCAACAAGACCCCCCTCATCCTTGGCCATATCTCAAATCATTTTTCAAAATAGTCGAAAAATTTAGCTTTCAATTCATATGGTGGCATCTGGCTGTTTTTTTTATAAGGTTACTTTATACTTTTATACTTTAAGTAGTTTTTGGAGCACATACTTTTTTCAATTTTCCTTGAGTAAAGAGGTCAAGTTGATACTTCAACTTTTACCAGAGTGTTTTTAAACTGCAGTATCTATACCTCTACTTAAGTAACAAATGTGTGTATTTTTGACACCACTGCGCTTATCTGATCCAACTGTATTAGTCTGTATTTAACCAGCCTTCAGACCAGTCATCAGTGCCAGATTTTTTTAAGCCATTGGTGAGATTTTTTCTAGCGTTCCTGTATTCTGTTTAACTGATCCTTACCTGTTCTGCCTCTCAACCTCTGAGCCTGATCAGTTTACCTGACCTGTCTTCTGACTCACACCACATATCTGCCTGTCCTTGTCCCGTACATGGAACTGTGACCCAACTCTGTCTTGGATTCTCCCTCAGCACCTCACCGGCTCTCTGACATCCTGGCTTTGACAACCAAGCATGCTCCTGACATCGCCTTTGGCTTTGCCCTCTGGATCATCCTGCCTACATTCGTCTGATCGGTTCTGATCTTTCTGTTCTCAGCCTGACATAACTAGCTTATTTGAAGTTTTTAGCTGAAATGTTTTTGTCTTGGGGTTAAATAATTTTTGTTAATAAATTCTTATATTTTCAATTGAAGTTGCTGGGAATTTACTTCATATAAGTTAAATTTTTGACTATGATTAAGCCAGTTGGGCATTTGCTCATAGAACAACACATCATAGTTTGAAAGATATTTGAATAAATAACAAAAATTCACAACAAATTTACTATCATGTGTTCCCTTAAGAACCACTGGTGGGCCCTCAGCATCTTTTGAGAACAGAACAACTCGACATTTATAGAGCATTTGAGCATTTTTATAGAATTCTAAAGGACAATATCTTAAAGAAAATTAGAAATTAAAAGAGACAATAAAATATGTGTATGATACATGAAGTTTAGGTGAATACTGATCTCTTCTATTCATAGATCAGAATTGGTTGCCCTTCCTATGGCTCAGTACCCATGAAGAAGCCCTCAGCTTTAAAAAGGTTGGTGAACCATGCTGTAAAGAGTATAAATCCCCCTCAAATTATTTTTTTGTAGTCCAAGGTGTGGTGGATAAAGGTAATGAAATCTTAATCTTCGATTACAAAAATGTATTAAAATTCTTTTTTTTTGTTTTTTTGTTTGCATTTTTGAGTCCATAAAAAGAAAATTCTACTTCAGAGTAAAAGACTCCTGGTGAAGTTTCCTAGAAAAGGCTGGTTGACTGACCTTTTTTTCCCCATAGGGTATTAATTCCTTTCAAAGACAGATGGTTTGTTTAAAGGGGAGGCACTTTTTTTAAGCCACCACAAGGACATTTTTTCTCAAGTCAGTGACAAAGCAAAATAAAAAAAACCTGATTGATTAAACACCACCAGACTGTCGATATGTCAGTTACCAATCAAGATGATGTCATATACAGTGTATACATCACACTCATCAGCTGCCTGTAATTACAGTGAACCTTTGGCAGCTGGAAACAGCTGAGTATTTGCTGACAAACCTTATCTTCTCTCCAGCGAATGTGACTATTTTAATACATAATAAACACCTAAGAGACCTACAGACACCTTTTATCTGATCAAATATAAAAAATAAAGCTGTGCAATGACTGATCTCACCGACATAGTAGAATAAATTTTGGCTATCAGCAATAAAAAATTTAAATGTGTGTTCTTGCCTGCAGGTTGGAACAAACCCTTAAAGCTGCCGTGTTATGATAATAAAGAGGTCAATACGGACATTTGTGCATAAATAATTCAGATGACAAGAAGGGGAGGATATAATAATGAAACATTAACAGGTAATAGATTAGGAGCTAAACTGAATAATACTGTAAGCAAAGTGCAAATTAGCACTTTGTACCGACCTCTTAAAGAAGAGAATACACATGCGATAAGATACAGACAGTAAATAAAGAGTGTAAAGTTTATACCAAACAAAGATATTTTTTTCTTAGCCAATCCACCAGGTAAACATCACAGCTCCCTTTAAACAACTAAATTTGCAGACAGCTGAGGACTTTTAATTGTCAAACTTGTCCATATGTTGGATATTCGTGAAGGATGAATTATGAGAGGGCTTCAGAAGAGCCGTGTCACATTCGGGTTTTAACTGAAAAGGCACCTGTTGCACTAAAGTTTAAGAAAAAAAAAAGACTTCAATGCATCTATTGTCTTGCAGCAAAACTTGTTAATGCTTAACCGGAGTT